TGTGGGGACGTTGGGGTCATCTGGGGGCTCTGTGGGGTGATTTGGGTCTTCTATGGGGCGCCCGGCCAGTTGGGTGCCCCATTTGGGGACATTGGGGTCACCTGGGTCCTCTCTGTGGGGACATTGGGGTCATCTGGGTCCTCTATGGGGTGACTTGGTCCCTCTATGGGGTGACTTTGACCCCTCTATGGGGCACCTGGCCATTCGTGTCCCCGGTTTGGGGACATTGGGATCATCTGGGTCCTCTATGGGGTGAGTTTGGGTCTTCTATGGGGCGCCCAGACACCCGGGTGGTGGTGGTGGTGGTGGTGGTGGTGGTGGTCGGGGGGAGGTCGTCGTTGAGGGGGACGTCGTCGCCGCAAAGAACTTCGTGGGTTTGGAGGCGCTTGACGTGGATGAAGGTCTTGCCGCAATGGCGGCAGGCCAGGCCCCGGCGGCCCCGGTGGAGCTTGGCGTGGAAAGCCAAGGCGGCCGCCGTGCCGAAAGCTCGCCCGCACAACCCGCAGCGCAACGGTGAGGAAGAAGAAGATGAAGAAGAAGAAGAAGAAGAAGAAGAGGAGGAAGAAGAAGAAGAAGGTGCCGTCGTCGCCGTGGTGGGGCCTGTCATGTCGGCGGCCGCCATTTTGGACCCGGGTACGGCAGCCGCCATTTTGGAGGCCTCCCCGGAAGCCGCCATTTTGGAGCCTTGTACGGAAGCCGCCATGTCCATTGAGGGCGCTGTGCTGGAGGCCGCCATGTTGGTTCCTACCATAGAAGGCGCTGGGCTGGAAGCCGGGCCGGGGGCCGCCATCTTGGAAGGCGCCAGTTTAGAAGCCGGCGCCGTGGGAGGAGCCGCCATTTTGTCCTTCGCCTCAGCCGCCTCCTGTGAGGAAAAACTTAAATCCACCGGCGCCGGCGACTTGGATTCTCCCGAAGAACCGTTCATTTCTTTCCAAGTCGCCGATTCTAATAAACCTTGAAGGGTGGAGATGCCCAAACGGCGCCCGATGGCCCCTAAAGCCCGGGCGGTGGCTTGGTTGGGGACCGCCAAGCGGGAATTGTAGATAAAATTGAGGACGTCGGAGAAAACGCCGGCCTGGACGTCAGGTAATTCCAAAACTTGAGCGGGGTTGAGGCAAGAAGGTCCCGTTTGGGTTAAAGCCCGTTTAAAAAAAAGGCTGGAAGCCGCCAGGACGTTTTTGTGAGCCCGGAATTTGGTGTCCTCGGCGATGATGGTGACGTCGCAGAACTGGCCCCTCAGCCGTTGTTCGTTTAATTCCAAAAGCAAAGCCCGGCAATGCCCGGCGTCCGACACCTCCACGACCGGAGCCATCCCCGCGGCGCCCACCTGGGGGGAGGGAGAAACACACGAAAAAAGGGGACAAATTGAGGGGATAAAGTTGGGGGGACGGCTCTGTGGGGTGATTTGGGTCTTCTATGGGGCGCCCGGCCAGTTGGGTGCCCCATTTGGGGACATTGGGGTCACCTGGGTCCTCTCTGTGGGGACATTGGGGTCATCTGGGTCCTCTATGGGGTGACTTGGTCCCTCTATGGGGTGACTTTGACCCCTCTATGGGGCACCTGGCCATTCGTGTCCCCGGTTTGGGGACATTGGGATCATCTGGGTCCTCTATGGGGTGAGTTTGGGTCTTCTATGGGGCGCCCAGACACCCGGGGTCCCTTATCTGGGGACATTGGGTTCATCTGGGTGCTCTATGGGGTGACTTGGTCCCTCTATGGGGTGACTTTGATTCCTCTATGGGGTGACTTGGGTCCTCTATGGGGTGCTCAGCCACTTGGGTGCCCCATTTGGGGACACTGGGGTCACCTGGATCCTCTATGGGGTGAGTTTGGCCTCTCTGTGGGGCACCCAGACACCTGGGGTCCCCCATTTGGGGACATTGGGGTCATCCGGGTGCTCTGTAGGGTGATTTGGGTCTTCTATGGGGCAGCCAGACACCTGGGACCCACATATGGGGACGTGTGGGTCACCTGGGTCCTCTACGGGGTCACCTGGGTCCTCTATGGGGTGACTTGGTCCCTCTATGGGGACATGTGGGTCGTCTATGGGGCAGCCGGACACCTGGGACCCACATCTGGGGACGTGTGGGTCCTCTATGGGGCAGCCAGACACCTGGGACCCACATCTGGGGACATGTGGGTCCTCTATGGGGCAGCTGGATGCCTGGGTCTCTTCTATGGGGAGATGTGGGTCCTCTATGGGGCAGCCGGACACCTGGGACCCACATATGGGGACATGTGGGTCACCTGGGTCCTCTATGGGGTGACTTGGTCCCTCTATGGGGAGATGTGGGTCCTCTATGGGGCAGCCAGACACCTGGGTCCCTTCTATGGGGACGTATGGGGCCTCTATGGGGCACCCGGACACCTGGGACCCCCATCTGGGGACATGTGGGTCACCTGGGTCCTCTATGGGGTGACTTGGTCCCTCTATGGGGAGATGTGGGTCGTCTATGGGGCACCCGGACACCTGGGACCCCCATCTGGGGACGTGTGGGTCACTGGGGGCCTCTCTATGGGGCACAGACACCCGGGTCCCTTCTGTGGGTGCTCGGGGGTCCCCAGCCCCACAGATCTGGGTCCTCGGCCCCACACTTTAGGGGTCCCCCAGCCCCACAGATCTGCCCCACGGATCTGGGTCTTCAGCCCCACACTTTCGGGGTCCCCCCAGCCCCACAGATCAGCCCCACACTTTAGGGGTCCCCCAGCCCCACAGATCTGCCCCACGGATCTGGGTCTTCAGCCCCACACTTTCGGGGTCCCCCCAGCCCCACAGATCAGCCCCACACTTTAGGGGTCCCCCAGCCCCACAGATCTGCCCCACGGATCTGGGTCTTCAGCCCCACACTTTCGGGGTCCCCCCAGCCCCACAGATCAGCCCCACACTTTAGGGGTCCCCCAGCCCCACAGATCTGCCCCACGGATCTGGGTCTTCAGCCCCACACTTTCGGGGTCCCCCCAGCCCCACAGATCAGCCCCACACTTTAGGGGTCCCCCAGCCCCACAGATCTGCCCCACGGATCTGGGTCTTCAGCCCCACACTTTCGGGGTCCCCCCAGCCCCACAGATCAGCCCCACACTTTAGGGGTCCCCCAGCCCCACAGATCTGCCCCACGGATCTGGGTCTTCAGCCCCACACTTTCGGGGTCCCCCCAGCCCCACAGATCAGCCCCACACTTTAGGGGTCCCCCAGCCCCACAGATCTGCCCCACGGATCTGGGTCTTCAGCCCCACACTTTCGGGGTCCCCCCAGCCCCACAGATCAGCCCCACACTTTAGGGGTCCCCCAGCCCCACAGATCTGCCCCACGGATCTGGGTCTTCAGCCCCACACTTTCGGGGTCCCCCCAGCCCCACAGATCAGCCCCACACTTTAGGGGTCCCCCAGCCCCACAGATCTGCCCCACGGATCTGGGTCTTCAGCCCCACACTTTCGGGGTCCCCCCAGCCCCACAGATCAGCCCCACACTTTAGGGGTCCCCCAGCCCCACAGATCTGCCCCACGGATCTGGGTCTTCAGCCCCACACTTTCGGGGTCCCCCCAGCCCCACAGATCAGCCCCACACTTTAGGGGTCCCCCAGCCCCACAGATCTGCCCCACGGATCTGGGTCTTCAGCCCCACACTTTCGGGGTCCCCCCAGCCCCACAGATCAGCCCCACACTTTAGGGGTCCCCCAGCCCCACAGATCTGCCCCACGGATCTGGGTCTTCAGCCCCACACTTTCGGGGTCCCCCCAGCCCCACAGATCAGCCCCACACTTTAGGGGTCCCCCAGCCCCACAGATCTGCCCCACGGATCTGGGTCTTCAGCCCCACACTTTCGGGGTCCCCCCAGCCCCACAGATCAGCCCCACACTTTAGGGGTCCCCCAGCCCCACAGATCTGCCCCACGGATCTGGGTCTTCAGCCCCACACTTTCGGGGTCCCCCCAGCCCCACAGATCAGCCCCACACTTTAGGGGTCCCCCAGCCCCACAGATCTGCCCCACGGATCTGGGTCTTCAGCCCCACACTTTCGGGGTCCCCCCAGCCCCACAGATCAGCCCCACACTTTAGGGGTCCCCCAGCCCCACAGATCTGCCCCACGGATCTGGGTCTTCAGCCCCACACTTTCGGGGTCCCCCCAGCCCCACAGATCAGCCCCACACTTTAGGGGTCCCCCAGCCCCACAGATCTGCCCCACGGATCTGGGTCTTCAGCCCCACACTTTCGGGGTCCCCCCAGCCCCACAGATCAGCCCCACACTTTAGGGGTCCCCCAGCCCCACAGATCTGCCCCACGGATCTGGGTCTTCAGCCCCACACTTTCGGGGTCCCCCCAGCCCCACAGATCAGCCCCACACTTTAGGGGTCCCCCAGCCCCACAGATCTGCCCCACGGATCTGGGTCTTCAGCCCCACACTTTCGGGGTCCCCCCAGCCCCACAGATCAGCCCCACACTTTAGGGGTCCCCCAGCCCCACAGATCTGCCCCACGGATCTGGGTCTTCAGCCCCACACTTTCGGGGTCCCCCCAGCCCCACAGATCAGCCCCACACTTTAGGGGTCCCCCAGCCCCACAGATCTGCCCCACGGATCTGGGTCTTCAGCCCCACACTTTCGGGGTCCCCCCAGCCCCACAGATCAGCCCCACACTTTAGGGGTCCCCCAGCCCCATAGATCAGGGTCCTCCCAGTGCTATGGGGCTGGGGGTCCCCCGTGCCGTGGGGCAGGGTCCTCCCCGCTGCTATGGGGCAGAGCATCCCGCTGCTATGGGGCAGGGACTCCCAGCCCCACGGCGCGTCCCGGGCCCCG